GGGAAGGACTAGACTGGGCAACTTGCCCTGTAGATGATCTTCCGGGCAGTGGGATGATTGATGTCCAATTGTTTGGCAATCTTCTTTAAATATCTTTTCAGGCTTGTAAGCATCTATAACCTCTCTGAAGCCTCAAAGTACCCTTTTGATCTTGGTATGAAGATACCAAGCACTTCAACAACAAAGAGCAAATCAAACTGAGTGTCTAAAGTTTCATAAGACACACTCCTCCCAAATTCTCTTTAACAAAGTTCTAATCATTTGTACTGACCCGATATTTAGATAGTTGTGGTAGTCATAAATGTGGAGGTGTCCTTACTTTTTCCACATGGAAAAGTTGCATTTATATTTATTTAAATTACACAATGCACTACAAAATATAAATGCTTCCTAATATAACCTTTTTATATATCAATATTACTGAAATTAAGACCAGACATCTATATGTTGAAATACATAGAAAAGGTAAAAAATCGGGGTGTACTTACTTTTTCATATGATTATATGCTTTGAGAAAAACAAAGATATGAATCAGGGGTGGGTTCTGGCCGGCTTTACTGGCCGGTTCGCTTGTGCATGAGCGCACATGTGCATTCAATTAAAATTGTTCTGCGCATGCGCAGAATTTAAAATCAAAATGGCAGCGGCAGTAACCAGGGAACCGGTTCGGGGGTATGGCAGGCTTGGGTCGCTGCCAATTCCAGTGACCCAGGCCGCCATTCCACTATCGGTTCAGCCGAACCAGGCCGAACCGGTAGGAAACCACCTTTGTATGAAATGCATTCGTGTCTAAAGAAATTAAATACTATCAATTTAAGGTACATGGAACACATTTCTCTCCCTTTGTCTGAAAAGTGGGTAGCATTCTGTAGTTTACTATTGTTCACATTCAAGCATATTCTCCTCCCTCTCCCTGTTTCTTCAGATTAACTTTCCACAATAACAAAGCCCAACATGTCAATTTGGGAGAATATCATTCCCAACCTGATGGGACTTTCCATAGCAGTCTGCCTAGTCCAATCATCTGTGCTGCTGTATGGTGACAGTAGTGTACAAACAGAGGCACAATGGATCCATACTTGCACAAAGTGATAACACGTCCCTTGTTCTAGTTTCAGATAGAATGGTGTATCCTTTGCCATGGCAGTACAACAATTATCAATGTAAAGTTTTTTCCCCAAATCTTAGTGTGACTCAATCAAAACTGAATTTGTAAGATACCGTAATTAGAAAATCAAGAAGAGGGCAGAGAAAGACTGAAAAAGCCTCCAAAATGAATATATGAACATCCTTTTGCCTCGATATCCCAATTACTGTCCTGGCTGGCAGCTATTCAGGAATTCAGACAGTGCTTTCTCCTGTTCTATCACAAACTTAGTCATGCGAAACAAGTGCTCCCTGACTGATCTATTTTGCTCTTCTCACAAAATGGCCAAGGAGACCTCCATTATGATCATGGGTATAACCAGACTACTGGCTTTATAATCATAGAAGCACAATAGTATAATCAACTAAGCATCAGTGAATACAAATAAGTATGTTTAGAATGAGTGGCTTAACATTACCTTCTTTGGTTCAAACACAGCATCCATATCATGTTGATTACTATCTCTCTCTCTTTTTTTTTTGAGTGATGGCCTTAGTTAAAACCAACTTTCAGCTGGAATATTTGCATGTTAAGAGCCTAGCATGGTTTCCCCTTTGCCTTGTTCTTCCAGGCTGCTAGATACAGATGTATTTTTCCTTTCTTTTTCTCTTTTCCTCCTCTTTAAGGATTATCCCCCTTATGAGGATATGGATTCATGCACACATATGTATATAAAACAAAGAACCCTTATGGCTAAGAAACAGAATGATACATAAACACCCAAACCATATATACAAAGAAACAAATATCAACTAAAACAGATACAAAGACTAATATATATATGTATGTATGTATGTATGTATGTATGTATGTATGTATGTATGTATGTATATATATGTGTGTGTATATGTGTGTGTGTGTGTGTGTGTGTGTGTGTATGTGTATGTATGTATGTATGTATGTATATAGGTATGTAGTCTACATATATCTATGTAGTCAGTGGTGGAGAAAATGGCAGCAATGGAAGGCTGGTAATAAATAAATTCATGGAGATCCCAGGGAACTAATATAGTAGCTTGAACTTAAAGAAAGGGCAGGGGATAGAAAAAAATGTGGAACACAGTGTGCTAGGATGAAAAAAATGGTACAACTGCAGCCCTCGTAACAGATATGCTAAGAACATCATTTGCAATATTTGTGATGTTGGGGCAAGAATCATTTTTTTCCAACCTTTGTAAACTTTTATAACCATTTTTACTGAAGTTTCAAAATATTACGATAAATAACTAATGCAAGCTAAGAATATTCAGAAGCTACAGCTGGTACAGTGTGTGGCAGAGCGGACATTTTTGGGGGCCCTGTTAACACTACAAGCTGCATTGTTTACCAGTCTGCTTCCGGTTGCAATTCAAAGTGTTGGTGATCCCCTTTAAAACTCTTCATGGCATGGGTCCAGGTTACTTGAGGGACCATCTCACCCCACTGGGATTGGCCCATCCCACTCATGCCAGCAACAGAGGCATGCTGTGGCTCCCGTCAGCCTGATTATTCCAGCTGGCGGGGTCCAGGAGGAAGTTCTCTGTTGATGCTCCTGTCCTCTGGAACATCTTGCCCCCCAATGTGAGGTTGGTCCCAACTCTCCTATCTTTTCATAAGAGCCTAAAGTAGGGTGGGATTCAATTTTTTTTACTACTGCTTCTGTGGGTGTGGCTTGGTGGGCGTGGCACAGCATGGCTTGGTGGGCGTGGCAGGGGAAGGATAATGTAAAATCTCAAATCCCTCCCCACTCCTCGGGGAAAGATACTGCAAAATCTGCATTTCCACCCCACTCCAGGAAAAGGATACTGTAAAATCCCCATTCCCACCTCACCCCACTAACCTATTTTCCAGCTCCGTTCCCTTGTGCAGGATGACAAAAGAAGACCCAGCCAATCAGCTGGGACTCTGATCAGCTGGGACTCAGGAGGCAGCAAATAGATCAGGGGCGGGGCTAGGCAGAGGTGGTATTTGCTGGTTTTCTGAACTACTCAAAATTTCCGCTACTGGTTCTCCAGAACCGGTCAGAATCTGCTGAATACCACCTCTGGCCTAAAGATCTAGTTCTGCAAGTCAATTTGGGGCCCCAGTGGGGAAATAGTGCAAAGAAGATGTTGATGCATAATAACAGATCCTACTTACCCCCTCATTCCGCCCTGCCCTCCCCGTCTGTCCTTAGTTTTAATATCTGATTTCAACTTTTTATATTTTAACTGTATATGTAACTGAAAGCAGCCCACTTACCCTATGGTAAAATGGGTGGCTAATAAATTTTATAAATAAATAATAAATAAAATATTAAAAAGTAGAAAGAGAAAAAAGGGGGTGAAGAGATACAGAGAAACATACATATAAATAATTATTCTCCCATCATCAAGACAAATACAAGTTCAGTAACTTATCATCTGCTCTAACATTCAATCAAAAATCTCTTCATACCATATCTCATTTTTTATCATTTAGCAAATAATACTCATCATTCAATCTTTATCAGCAGGTCCATTAAAAGTTACCAGAAATAACTATATATTTAACCCCAAACAAGTAAATCAATTTCATGATCCTTTACAGTCACTTATCATTTTTAAAAAATGCAACAAAAACCTCTCCTTCCCACATCTTATATCTATAAACATATTTTTAAAGCCTCATCATTCAAATTTAATTTAAAAAACCATTAAAAGATACCAGGAACAACATAATGAAATTTAATTTCTTCAAAAAGTGTCCCAGAAATTAATTTCTTATCAACTTCTCTTCACCTCATCTCAGAAACTCCTTCACACATTTAACACTTTCCATCAATTGTAATACCCTACCTTACCACTTTCTCTAAACATGTAACAAAAACATCTTCTTTCCATATCTTATCTATAAACAATTCATTAAAGCCTCCTCATTCAATCTTGGTAAAAAAAAATCCATTAAAATCTGCTAGAAAAAAATCAGAAACATTTTAACCTTCTTTATATTTTTAAAGGTCAATGTTTACTTCTTTTAAGTAATGTCCTAAAAGCTGATTATTTTTTTTCATTCTCTCTTTATTTTTCTCAGGAACTCCTTCATAAGTATCTCTTTTGTAAGTGCAAAATAAGGAAGTTGTCCAAGTCATTCCTCTGAGTTGAAATCCACAAACGCAAGTCTCATTTCTGTTTTGTTAGACTGAAATTTATTATTTCATATTTTTTTTATTTAACTGGGATTATCAAAGGTCTGGTTTTGAAAGACCACGGAGACAACATAAAACGATTCCAGCAATTAATCTCTTGAATTTGAGAGACTGAGAGCTGGGGCATAGAAATGCTCAGTGAGACAGCTGGAGACATTGGCCCTCACGCCACCACCAATTTCAGCTTTCCTGTCATAAAAGGTCATTTGAGTTCTAGTGTTCCAAATCCCCGAATCTGCCATAGTGTCTAAATGGATTCAATTGATTAAGAATTTCAATGAAACCATGTAGGCCAATAAATCCAGGTTCACAGAAGGAAAGACCCCGTATTTTTAGCTAAGTGGGGACTGCTCAAAATATATCAATAGGTTCAGTTTTCTCGGACTAAAAATAAGTTATTAAACAGGGGGGAAACATTACATTTATATTCACCAAGAATTGATGGGTACCTGGTATTTCAACTCCTTTGAACATTTTGCTTATTATTTCAGTCCAGACTTTTTAGAAAGAGGCTGTTCTTCTCAGCTGTGCAAATAGTTACTGACTACTTAATCCCATTGAGCTGGACGGAAGGTCAGCTATGCATGATGCTCAGCAAGGCATCTCCCCCTCCCCCTTCCCTTCGTAAGAGCAACTGCAATAGCAGAATATTCCAATACCAAAACATTTTACTTAATCCTAAACACACATGAACTGAGATTCTATTACCTCTCTATGGTTTTTAATTCTTGATCAGCTTCTTGGATCTTCAAGGAATAGTCATCTGCAAGTTTATAAAATTCAGTAAGCACAGAAGCCTTCAGATCAGGATATGGGCACTCCAGCTCCAATAACTGTGGTGGAAGCTCAGGTACAAATGTGGTCCTTTCCTCTAAAGTACATGTCAGGGCCTATAATAAAAAATAAAGACATTGGAAGCATCTGCCACATTCTTGCTAATCGAATTAAAATGTTTTTTAAAAAAAATTAAGAACTTACTTTATCTATAAATTCCTCGAGTTCCTTTTCCAAAGCTATTCTCTCCAGATGAAGCTTTCCCAAAATTGCTTTCTGTTGTTTCTTCACAAACTCTATCTATTTGTGAGAAATATTGTATTAATGAGTTAAAGTACATTGAATGTTGTAAATGTGGTCCCATGTATTGACAAAACAGCACATTGCTCATTGATTCATTCTATTTTTATTCTATCTCCTTTCAAAGAATTCATGTATAATGCAAAAAAGGTATCCCTTTTTGTGTCATCACAAGAATGAATGCTATAAAGCTGGTCATATTTAAAGAGCTAGCTGATCAGAGTTCCAGATTTGGCCTGAGTGGGAATTGTACCTGGGTTTATAACCCTAACTTTCCTGGTTCTTTCTTAATTATTTTATTAATAAGGTAAGACTGACATATACGGAAATCCTAAATTAGCAAATGTAGCATGTTATCAAATCAGTCTGATAATGAATCCAATACATTAATGCAAAGTCCAAAGAAAAAAAGGATTAGGATCAGACAAAAATTCCTAAAATAGATAAATACTTGATTCTATGAAAATCCCAAAATTAAGGCATGCAAACAGGTACACAGAGTAATTTTCAGAGAACATTTTGAGAATTCCTATTTTCATACAAAATGGGAAGTATGTAGTACTGAGTAAGTGGACTGAAAAATGTTAATTCAATCTTTAGAAATTGCTGTATGAATGTACAGAATTATCACTCACAAATTTTCTAGAAAGCACATGTATTTATTTTGTATAGGTCAGACCAAGATTTTAACAAACAAGACAGACTGAATTATACCATGTAGAGTTTGATTTTCCATGCAAAAAAGCTATATAATTTGTTCGCAGAAAAACAAAAAATAAAAAGTTATTGCATGTATGGATTTATCTATATATCCTATTACTTCTAGTTAGTTACAATTTTAGTCTATGTATTCTGTTGTGGCCCAGCAGGAGCCGTTGGAGCTGCCACCAGACTCCGACAGCGAGGGGCCCTATGAGTCGGCCCCGGAGGATGTGGAGGACCCTGGACAGGGTTCTGACTCCAAGCAGGGTGCAGAGATACTGGTTGTCCACCAGGTGGCGCCTGAGCCTTGGATCAGTGGGGAGGAGACAAAGGAGAGTGATCCAGAAACCAACAGTGAGTTGTTCTGGGATGCATGCTGTCGAAGGGCTACTCGGTGTCAACAACTACTACGTAATTACAGGAGGTAATTATGCTCAGCTGATGGTCATTAGGCTCCTCTCCAGACTATAAAAGAGACTGCTTGTGCTATGCCCTTCTTGCAGAAGTCAACGCTTTGACTAAAGAGAAACAAACTTGGCAGGCTGGATTGCTGCCAGAGTTTTTCTGAATTGCTGCCAAAGTTTGTTGGCCTTGCTGCCAAGGTCCTTATCTGTTTGTTTACTTGGCTTTCAGCCACCGAGAGTCTGAACTTGTTATTAAAGGACATTCTTATTTAAGCTTGTCTCGGCATTCGTTACTGGATGGAGGAGGGGGTCAGAATAGTATTCTATAGTAAATCAATGGCCAGCCTTAACATTTACATCAACTAGATTATCCCTAAATATCTCTGGGCATTCCACCTCAAAGGTTTGTCTATTTTATATAAAAAGCCAAAACCTGTGTTTACAAATGCTGATTCACTATTTAAATTGATTTGGATTTGTGTTTTAGAAATTGGTTTTTAAAGTTGAAATGTTTTTGAAACGAATGAGGAGATACGAATCAGGAAAGGTGTGAAGAAATCTGTCCCATCAGCTAGCCAACATGACCAATAATAAGAGGGATGAGATTTAGAATTTATTTGGAGGATTGCAAAAAAATTACCATCATGGACAAAGGAAAAAAAAATCATGTTGTCCAATCTAAAATCTACAGGCAGTGAATTATGGTATCCCGAAATACAATGCAAAGGATTATGTACAGTAACATGCTATCTCTCAACATGGCTAATAGAAAACGAGATTAAAATGTCAGAAAGAGAGAAACAGTTTTTATGAAGCTGGATTTTGAAATTAGTTCTATGTCACATATCAAATTCTGATACGTTGATTGAACAGCGCATTTCTTTAAGTGCACAAATATAATGCAAATGCAATAATAGGACAGAAGACCATCCACAGTAAGACATAGGAGGAAAGACCGTATGCAGAAGCAGTGAATTACTAACCTCTTCTAATACAGCATCTGGATTAAATGGATATTCCACACTTTTGCTGTTGGTTTGCATTTCTAATAATCTGTACCTTAAATCTTCCCTTAGCTGCCAGACAGGTTGCACTGTGTTTGCTTGAAATGTATCCAAGCCTTTTGTTAATTTATATCCTATTAAAAGTTAAATAGAAATTAGGGGTGTTGCTCAGTTAAAGAGCTAATTAATAAGAGTTTGTCAAATAATAGCTTATATTATGGAAAAGGAAATTTACATTTTCTCTACTTGTCACTGAAAAGAATAAGAAATCCAGTCTTCCCAGAAAATGAAGGGGTTGAGCACAGTATAATATTCATAGTATAAGTATAGAACAGGTAGTCCTCAACTTACAACCACAATTGAGCCCAAACTTTCTGTTGCTAAATGAGTAATTTGTTCAGTGAGTCTTGCCCCATTTTACAACTTTTCTTTCCACATTTGTTAAGTGAATCATTGCAGTTGTTAAATTATTAACAGGGTTGTTAAGTGAATCAGGTTTCCCTGTTGATTTTGCATGCCAGAAGGTTACAGAAGTTAATCACATGACCCCAAGGCATTGAAGTGTCATAAATGTGAATCGGTTGTCAAGCATCTAAATGAAAATCGTGTGACCATGGGGACGCAGCCACGGTTGTAAGTGTGAAATATGGTCATAAGTAAGTTTTTTAGTGCTGCTGTAACTTTGAATGGTCACTAGGCGAACTGTTGTAAGTTGAGGGCTTCCTGTATAGGGTGTGGATCTTTTTCTGCTGTTGTATTATGGATGGCTATTGTAGAGAAAGGGCACAACAGTCCATAGAAAAAAGCAAAGATTGCTCACTCAATACTCATGTCAGCTGATACTGGATTTATTTTTAAGAGGAAAAGTTTTTTCTTAATGGAACTTTGATGAAAAACACAGAAATATGAAATCTTTCATTCTTTATCCACTCTCATTCTTAATCCTTTCATTCTTCTTATCTCTCCTTCTTACCAGTAACTATATAATTTAGTTTAATCCAGAAATTGACAGATTACTTACGCAAATCCCACAAGTTGAAAAAACATTCATTTTCTTCATCAAAGAATGTTTGAATTTCAGATTCTAACTTCTGCCTGCAATTAAACATCTCAGGTCAGGTAAAATATACTCTTTTCCATTGTACCCAATTTGTGCATATGTGTGTGAGTGTATGTGTGTACGTGTGTGCGTGCGCGCGCACATGCACAGATACATATTTTTGGGTCACTAGACTTTTTTTTGAGTCTTACCCAATTCTTCCTTCATGTGGAAACTCTATTGGTAGTTAACCATAGTCAGAATAATCAGAATTCTATTCTTCTGGTTCTGTAAATTAACACTATAACTGACATTTGAGGATTTTCTTATCTAAAAGAGCACTTTCCTTCAGATTGTGCATATGAAGTCTTGTCCATTACATTACCAAATTTTCAATTACTTTACTAAGCTTTATCACTTCTTACCTGTTTTCGTGCAATCTTTTGTGCTCTTTCCACCATACTTGGCGATGACGTTTCAGTAGCATGTGTTCCTTATTAATTTTTGAGGCATGCTGTAATTTTTTAATCTGGGTACAAGATTTAAAGATATTTTATTAATAATAAATGTTGTTGAGGCTTCTATGAAGAAATAGCTAACCTTGAACAGGATTTATGCTTGATTGTCCTTGAAAGTCAATGGTTCATAAATACTTATTTAGTATCTTCAACTGTCTTTCCAGATTGTGTCCTTGCCAAAGGGCCTCATTAATATCATAACATTCTAAAACACCTTCAATTTAAATAATTTTAAAAGAAAGTCAATGGTTCATATCTATAAAAGAACGTCTGTTCAAGAAACCAAGACAATGTATATACTGACCATCTCTATCTCATTTTCTGGCAGCCGCAAAATATGCCCAGTTGCAGAAAATAAGGAATTTAAACAAAATTATATATACCAAATACAGTCTTGTTTTTAAGATTGCAGTTTTTATTCTAGATCAATGGATGCAAATCTTGCAAAACACCACCACCCTAACAAAGTATAGTAAATGCTACTGAATATACTTTTGTAGTTGTATCTATATTTTTATTTATTTATTTTCTATATTTTATCTATTTTATATAGAAACAAAACATGCAATTAACTGATAGTCAAGAGGTCACAGGTTAGACAGAAGTTATAACTCCACTCTGTCATTTTCTGACTTGCAGTTATGTAATTATATTGCCCTCAGACCTTTTTTCACCGTTAGATTAATGAAAAATGTTGGAGAATCAAAAGTGATTTTTTTTTGTATAAAAGTAGCCTGATTCTGGTGATTAAAAACTAGTAGGCTAACCCTACGCTCTTATTTTTAGGCAGAGTGCACACATCATATGAAGTTATGGTTTGATTTAATATGCTGTAGTTGAAATATGGAGATATATTTTGCACAATACATAAAGTCATAAACTGTAGTTTATTAACCACAAAAGGTAATCCACGTATCACACTAAGTCAAAACAGATTAACTATTGGCTTGGCCAATATGTTAAATCAAACACTCATCTACACATTACTAATGTGTAGTTTTGGTGGTACTTTATGCAAAATAAAAGTCCAGCTTACATATTACTACATTTCCATATGACTGAATGGAACTCCTAATATAATCATAGAATTTTGCCAAAGTCTTTCAACAGGTATTTACATCTGAATCATTTCTTTATGACCTAGGGGGAAATATAGGCAATGCGATCCAAAGAACAACAACAGAAATTTTCAATTTTATTTATCATTAAAATTCCATTTTCTCCATAATAAACTTTTAATACTATTGTCATGGATTTGTTTTGAAAGGTAGAGCTACAAACAGGATGAATAGGAATATGGTTCACTCTTGCACAGTTACCGGTACATTTATTTCTTAACAAGTAAAGAACTAAATTAACACAAAGTATTAAAGTGGCATATTTTTACTTCTCTGCTTAATTTACTCTGCTACTAAGTTTACACTAAGTTTTCTTATTAGTCTACTACTGCTTTATTTTCAGAGACTTTAAGCTTTTTGTAGCTTTGGGTACTGAATCAAACCATTAAACCATCTTTCCTAATATTTGCAACTGCTTCTTTAAGTGTTGCTGAGATCATTTTCAGTCAAGGTTTTTATAGCCTTTTAGTCTACCTAGTTATAAACAGGTTCTCTCTCTCTCTCTCTCTCTCTCTCTCTCTCTCTCTCTCTCTCTCTCTCTCTCGCTCGCACACACACACACACACACGCACACACACACGCTCACACACACACACACACAGAGGAGAGAGAAAAGATTACTTTTCAGACTGGGTGAGTTAAGTCATGCTTCTCTAATAGACATTGATGGTAAAGGAGACTTCGTATTCACCAAATTCTTCTGCACAAACGTCTTTCCACAATAATAGCCAAATTAATGGTTTCTAATAAACCTGAGAGTATAGGAGAACTTGCTTACTTAATGCCCTCTTCTCGTAACAATCTGCTTTTATAAAGAACTGTTTAATATCAGATTTGGCTTGATCTAAGTCTTTTAATATATGTAGTAAATATTTTCACAAGTGACAGAGGCATCTACAGCCAAACAACCAAAAGAAAGTCTTTATATGCACAGGAATGGAAGGGATCCCTATGACAACCCAGCTAGAACTCACAGCTTATTAAGAATTGTTAGTTTTCACAGAGATAACATTGTTATGCATTGCTTTACAACAATGAATCTATAGATTTTTCCATACTCCATTTAGTGAAAAAAGATAAGATACTTCTTTCGGACTATATTGCAATCATGACTACTATCATCCTGGCATTTATTTGTCATAAGGAATAAATTTATTGAGATTAGCTCTTTGGGATGAAAAAAATAAATAAAGGTAGGCAATGACTTACAACTATTCATTTACTAATCTTTTAAAGTTACAATAGGCACTGAAAAAAGTGATTTATGACTGTTTTTCATCTTTTAGATCGTTCCAGTATTCCCACAGTCACATGATGAAAATTCGGACACTTGGCAATTGGCGTTTATTATGCCAATAAATGATGGTTGCAGTGTCCCAGGGTCATGTGATTAGCTTTTGTGACCTTCTGAGAAACAAAGTCATTATGGAAGCCGTGTTACTAACTTAACCACTGCAGTGATTCACTTAGCAACTGTGGCAAGAAAAGGTGTAAAATGGGGCAAAACTCACTTAACAACTGTGCTGCTTAGCAACAGAATTTTAGGCTCAGTTGTGGTTGTAAGTTTAAGACTACAGCAGAAGCTTTATCCAGTTATCAGGAGATGAGATACTTAATAGACAGTGTGTCATCATTCCTTTGTATTTATACCATGCTATTTTATTCCATTTGTAAAAAAGATTAAAATATGTTGAGATCAAGAGATCATTACCTGCTTTAATATATATTTGTTTTACAGAAACAAAATGGATCATTTTTAGAAAACTTTTTGCCTAACTATGTATCACTGTTCGTATGTTTGTTACAGATTTCTACAAAATACATTTTTTTTATTATTGTGCTACACAGGAATATATTTTCAACCACAAACAGAACTTCCTTGATGGAAATATTAGTAAAAAATGAAATATTAAGAGATGAAGAGTTTACTTTTAAAGCTTCTGCATGTATTGAGCTGCTTTTGGCTTTGCTCGTCATTGATAAATAGTATATGCCATCCACACGTATCATTAGAATAAAATTATAAAATGTATGGGATATTCATTCTAGCCTTTCTCCCGTGTCAATTCTTTGGAGCTGTTCTTTTTGCAAGAACTGATCTTTTAGTTTTTATGGTATATTCCCAAAATCGGTAAATTGTTTCAGATGGAAGCAGAGGTGGGTTCCTACCAGTTCGCACCTATTCGGTAGAACCGGTTCGTCAAATCTACCGAACCGGTTAGAAGAGGTTCCACCAGTGAACCCGGAAAGCAGGCCACACCTACAGAAGAGGTTCCAAAAATTTTTGAAACCCACCACTGGTCCTTGGATATGATTATTCTACACCATCATGCTCATATTTATAAAACTCAGTGCCTCTGTGAAAGGTAAGGATGACTACTGCATTTGTGGTGCAATCAGAACATTGCATGTGTTGAAGTTGTTTTAACGCAAACCAAAGATGCCCTTTAAAAAACAAGTTTACATCATATTCTTATGCATGCCAGTGCTGTGTGTGAGGTAATTTAAGGTGGTTCTGACAAGTGTCGTCGGCATCTTCATATCCGGTCACATGGGCGGCAAGTCACTCCTATCCGGTCATATGGGCGGCAAGCCACTCCCACAAAGGAGGCCACACCCACAGAGTAAGTTCGAACAATTTTTGAAACCCACCACTGGATGGAAGGCTCTTAATACCATAAAAGACAAGATGCAGCAGGTTCATTTCCCCCTCTTTAATGGATTCTTAATGCAAATTTAAAAAAAGCACACAGGAGTGGAAAAATCAAGAGGGTTAACAATGAAAGTGATATTATGGAGGTATCCTATCAAATTCTATGCCCAATAAAAGCCTCATTTTAAATCATTTTAAGTATTTATTGATTCCAAAAACCAAGAGTGGTTTCCTACATATATTTAATTACTATTTATCCTTATATATTACTTGCTCACTGCAGAAATACAGAAATACAACGGCTTCCTGCATCTGTGCATCTCTGAAAAAACACACTTCCACATTCCATCTCAGCTACTTATTCGTGGAAAACACATGGATGCATCTTACTATGTTGCATCCATTATGGAGAGAAAATTCATGATGATGATGAGAATGAAGATGATGAAGATGATTAATATTATTATTGCATATTTTAAGTGATTTACAAAATATAGAGCACACTGTGAAAAACCAAGAAGTAAAAAAAAAGAATGCAAGTAGTCCTCGAGTTAAAACCACAATTGTGCCCAACATTTCTGTTGTTGAGTGAGACATTTGGTAAGTGAATTTAGCCCCATTTGCCACAGTTGTTAAGTGAATCACTGCAGTTGGTAAGTTAGCAAATCTGGCTTTCCCACTGACTTTGCTTAACAGAAGGTCACAAAAGGTGAGCACATGACCCTGAGACACTGCAACCATCGTAAACATGAGTCAATTGCCAAGTGGCTGGATTTTGATCACATAATCATGGGGATGCTGCAATGGTCATACGTGGGGAAAACGTTCATGTCACTATTTCAGTGCTGTTGTAACTTTGAACAGTCACTAAATGAACTGTTGTAAGTTGAGGACTACCGATATACAACCAAAAGTGGCGGATAATGAAAAACTAGAAACAAAATCCATTCACTGAACATTCCTACAAAGACAATTTAGAAAAAGTGATAGCATTCAACAGGGCCCTAAAACATGCAACTATACAAGTTTTCCTTCCTTCCTCAGAATTTCCTGCTATGTCAGTTTTGCACTTGAAAGACACATCAGAAATAGGAGAAATTCCCATGCTTGGATTTTTATTATTCATGCGTGAATGCTTCTTCAAGTATTTGGTATTGGTTTGGTACACCAGGGGCTGATAATGCTGATCTTCCATAATAGCATAATTATTGTTGCTGAAGCAGACTATCTCAATCCTCGCAAAAGAGATATATTCTCAAAACTACCATGGAGCAATTTGTGCATAAATGTAGACAGAATTAACACTGATTAAAAAAAACCCATTAAACTATATAAAATGGAACTGGACTATTGCAGGCTGCCTCTAAACCAAGCAAACCAGCATGTGTTCTGATCACTCACCACCAAGACACCATTAAAAACAACAATCTGGTCTAAGTCTAATAGTGGTCTATTGAAACCATTTCCCCCATTCATAGCTCATTCATTACCAGCATCCAATGGTTATTTGAGACAGAATATCTTCACTACCATGCCACGTAGTCCTGAAATTCTTCAAAACTCCATCTACCCAACTAAACCAACAGCAGCAGGCATATGACTGGTGTCCTCCACTGAATTTGGCCAGAATGGAAAATTCAAAAGATAACACCCAAGTGCAAGAGATCTTCCAATGAGCCATTAAAACAGAAAGAACACCTGAGATACATCTGCCAAGAACATTTTGCTTCATATTTGTTACAAAACAACCCTATTTTTATCTCTCTGTTAAATAGAACTTCTATAGCATCCATGTTTGGGCATGAACTTCCCCAAATTAGTGTTTCTATGTATAGAAAGTTTTATGGGAAGGAAGATTTTTGTATAACTTTAATAAATTATATCTCTCAGTTCCAAGAAAAACCAGTAGGCAATGGTATTTTACAATTCATCACAAATATCTATCCAGACAGATTTGTTTAATACATCTTTATGTTTTAGCATCACTCTAACCCTTTTTTACACCTAGTAATAGATAATGCCATTGTTGAATCCACTGTGTTCTCAGTTTTCCAAAAGGGGAATAGCCTGTAGAACCATCTCGTACTGAATGGGAATGTGAAATAATTGAAAATGAAGGACCATATAGGTAGCCATTGAATAAATGCAGGGGAAGGCTAGAAATACATGAACAAGAAAGTTTTTCTAAAGCAGCGTATGCTTAAAAACAACTGTTGCTTGCAGTTTCTTCTAAAATAGAGCAGCTTCCATTCTCTTCCTGATTATATAAAGCAAAATAATTTGCTTTGTCTCTATAAGTGCCAAATCAGTAAAATAAATTAAATTTAATCAGTAAATTAAATTTTGGGAAATATTGGCTTCAGAATATTTATGCTAAATGAATAGTGTTGACAGGGTCATTAACAGTAAACAAAACTAGAGTGTAGCATTTTGTGTGCTTTGCTTTGCTTTATTCTTTCTTGTCACTCAAAAATGTTTTTTTTTTACAGGCACCTCTGCTTTGCAAATAGGAAGGGTCACTTAACTGTAGCTGGTACAGAGTTTTAAGAAATCGGATCTGTTCTGAATAAAACAGAAAAAAGGATATGGATATGGATATGGATATGGATATGGATATGGATATGGATAGACAGGCAGGCAGGCAGGCACACACACACACACACACACACACAGACACAAATGGGAGTTAAACTCATGGCCCGTGGACCAGATGCATCACGCGCTGGCCACGCCCACACCCAGTTTAGTGAAGGGAGGGAGTTGTGATATGTCATGTAACGACAATGTGTCATCATGAGTTTGACACCCCTGCACTAGAACCAAAGAGGTATTAGGAAATGACTTTTCAATAATATTGAAGCTACTGGCTTTAATGTTCTACAATATAGTACAGTAATGTTTTTCTTGCCAATATACAGAGGTGACATTTTCAGCCTCAGGTGCCAAAATAACTTATATATTTTGGCTGTGTTTATTATGGAAGGTGGTGCGGGAGAGAGAAAACCATAGAGAAGGCTGCCATCAGCTACTCTGTTTGAGAAAGTGACACATCTTGCTGTAATATGCAGTCTCCCCCTTTCCTAATATCTTAGTATTTGAATGGCACTCAAGTTCTAGGTATCAGAACTGTTCTTATAACAGAAGAGAGACCTTCCTAAGAGGGTTAGACTGTTATCAGCGGCAAGAGTTCTGGCAGGGATACACAAAGAACTGCAAACTAAATCATATGTCCCCACAGATTGCTGTGCTGCAATTCATAATAGCTAAGCAATCACAGCAGTTGCCTGGTCATTGTGTTTCCTACTCAAGTGAAGGAACAAAATCTTCCCTGTTTACACATTACATTCATTTTCACTGCAACCCGACCTCTCCATGTTATGGAAACATACAGCCTCATATATTGTGATTACTAATTATAGCTTGTTCAGATTTTAAGCTACTTAAGCATTCCTCTATATGAAAAGCTGGGGCAAAATATCTTAAATAGAACCTAAGAGCTGCTTATTAGAACAGCCTATTAATTCATTGTGAAATCAGTGGAGATCCTCATGAAGACAAACCAGCACTTTCGTTGCACAAAAAGCAGGTATGAACAAGCTCAGGTTTCCAAATGCATGAGGGGGGAAATGTCTTTTTGTAAAGAGGAAATGAAGCTAAGGGAAGAAACAATTCGAAAATGTCCAATGAGAATCAAACTTGCCTAATATGACACAGTATGTTGGTTGATTCTTAAAAGAGGAAGAGTGAAGGGAAACCTAGAAACCGAATGGTATATTTAGAAAAGGATATGGTTTATTAGTGGCAACCTGAACAGGATCAATCTGTGCTGCAGCATTTCACGGCAAATCTCGTGTATTTGTAAATATGATGAATAAATCAACTAAATGTAACATTGTTGTTCACAAGAACACAATCCTGTCATTTTGAATGCTGAGACCTTCCACAATACAGTGATTGTGTGATATGGAAAGCTGGATTAAATGGACCAGGGACTAGCTGGGCTCTTTATTCAATTTACCTTTGATAAATGTGCAGTTCACAGTGACAAGGAAGCAGTTTCAAATGTCACTATGTTCTCGTGCTGAAAACTCTTTCATTATATTTTCTTGAGTGGCTGCCTTAACTTGGAACAGACCGAGTTAGGCTGAGAGAGATTGGATTTATGTAATATTATTACTTATGATTTGCTAAATAAATCACAGTTGGTTGGGATTATATTCTAGGTGATACAAATCATGGTTTACTAATTACAACCATTGGGTTGCACAACATGCTAAAATAAAACAGGCCAATTAATACCTTAATAAAATGAAAATGCTTTTACAGTAATTAATATACTACGGTGAAATTGAAAGGAATCTTTTTTCAAATATTATAAAAATTCAAAAAAGAGCAAAGAGCATCCTAATGATAGGGTTTACTTAAATTTGCAAAAAAAATATTTACAATCTATATTTATTACTTTAACTAAAAAGTTAACAAAACTGAATAGTCATGCTCTTATGATTTACTACATGAACCTTTTTGCTTTACATTTACAAAAAGCAATTATCTCTGTAATCTTTATGGCAGGAGGGAGGGGGGAAGGAAAGAAGGAAGGAAGGGAGGGAAGGAAAGAAGGAAGGCAGGAGGGAGGGAGGGAGGGAGGGAAGAAAGGAAGGAGATTTTGTTGTTAAAATGTTCATCATGATGTCACAATGCAAACTCAAGTTCATAAATGCATTGTGATACTACATACAGGTACATAAGATACATTTCAATTCTGTGATACATGTTTTATTGCTTTTCTCCACAGAAGACAAAGGCAAACCATATTCATATTGTTGCCAAATCTCCATAGTTGAACTTGAACTACATGTCCATGTAGTCTCCAGAAGCCAACTGTAATCTAAGGAAGTTTTAGTTTTACTCTGTGTTGCTAATAATTTTATAAACTGCTTCAAACAGAGGGATAAAAAAGACAATTGCGTAACTAGAAAAGGAAGGCTTTAGAAAGTTTCAAGTGGCATTCACAAATTGCACAAACTCTATAAGCATCAATACTCAATCAAACTAATTGATGGCACAAGTTCAGATCAATTGATAAAAGATTCAGCTAGTTTTACAATCCAATTGTTAATCCTGTTACTAATTAGCAATCTTTGCTGACTTCCTGTTTTCATCCATACTCTGCCTAATGTCTAGTAGGATATACTTTAATGAATGCTGCTACACACTGGATTTTATGGAGCATTTTCCTTGAACAGCTAGAATTGCATATAACATCCATCAAGATTTATAGATACTTACCTTTAAAAGGATGTTAGCAGACTGTAATTTCTTTGCTTCAGTAATTGCATAGAGTTCTTCATAATCAACAGGTTTGTACTTTGAACTTTTAAGCCCATTTTTCATACAGACAACCAAATTGTCTAGTAGAGGCATAAAACAATTCAGATTGTTGAATAAAATTAAACATTACATTGTAAGAAATTTAGGACATTTGGAGTAAACAAAAATAAACATGATAGTTTTAAAAGTGTAACTTTAAAAGGAAAGTTTACACTGTCTAGTACACTGTCTTTGTTTTTCTATTACAAATACAAAATAAGAAGAACTACTCTTTAAGGTAGGAAAATATGCAGAAAACTACACAACCAAAACATTCAGGTTTTAATTTGATTGCTTAAATCACTTACTACTTAAAACTTACATCCACTTAAACTTCATAAAGATGCCCAGTTGAAAAAGGCTGTTGTGATTCATAAACTACATGCAGCTATCTAGTTCCAGTTTTGTGACCCCCCCCCCAAAAAAAAAGACCTGAGGATGATAGCACTACAATTGTTCAGTTTTGATGTTATATTATAGGCTTAGTTACAAATATCTAGAATCCAAACATTTTAAATTTCTATATTGAATAAACTGCAAAAGCTAAATCATTCAAAGAGAGGCATTTTTGTTTTGTTTTGCCTCAGTGGTATTTCTATTTCACTTCTTCTAGGCCCCTTAATTTAAAATGAACAACCAACCCCTCCCAATAAGAAATGTTGTATAACTCTGATTTAGATTATTAATATTTGGTTCTGCCTAAGCACGTTACGGGAATAAGGTAAGAAAGTTGGATCCACATACATTTATTCATGCTTAATCTAAATGCACTGACACTCATCCCATTGCTTTAAATAGATCTGTGTTAAGCATTACAAAAATTCAATCCAATCAATAGTAGAACACATGCCTTAAAGAAACCCATCATACTAAAATACATTGGAAAGTATCTAATAGAAATGAAGTAGCCTACAGATAATCAGTCTTGCAAATTGGTTCTGACTAGCTCAAAGAAAATTAACTTATACCAACATATCTACTTAAGGATGTATTGCAATGAATGCTCATAAATGTAATTCATGACATTTCAGAATCTTTTTTTCCAATCTGATAATGTCAATACTATACATCTTGATATTCTGGCAAAGCACATTATTTTAGCAATCTCAGCCTTTATTTTAAGGCGGTAAATTGCCAAACATGCTAATGGAAAATACAAAACATATGTCCTTATACTCATTTTTATATACTATCCAGTCTGCATCAGCAAACAATTTATTTAAGGCTGAGTGTAATTCTAATCACATTGCTTGGAAATCAGCTCCATTGGGCACACTATTTTCCCTCCTGGCTTCTCCTTTCTTCTTCCCTCATTTTTAAGCTATACAGAAGTACAATAATATCATCAAGGGTTCCAAGTCTTTTGAAGTGCTAGATGCAACACTGAACTTCTATTACTAAGAGTGTTTCTCTTCCACCATAGAGCAAAAGTACTATTGGCAGTTTAGAGCGCACTTGCATAAAATGCAATCAACTCAGTAGGTCAAACTTTACAAATGATAAATTCTACATACAGACAATCCTTGACTTACAGCCATAATTGAGCTCCAAGCTCCCATTGCTAAGCCAGACAGTTATTAACTGAATCACTGCACTTGTTAAGGTACAGTAGCAACACATTGTTCAGTGAGTTTAGTTTCCCCATTGATTTTGTCTGTGAGAAGGTCACAAAAGGTGACCACATAATCCCAGGACATTGAAACCATAATAAATACATGCCAGTTGCCAAGCATCTGAATTTTGATCACATAACCTTGGTGATGTTTCAACATTCCTGTGAAAAGTGATCATAATTCACTTTTTTCAGTGTTGTCATAACTTCAAACGGTCACTAAATGAATAGTTGTTCAATTGAGGTCTACCTGTAATCGATGTGTAACTAACATAATCACATTGTAAGGAAAGCTAAAATACATACATTGAAAAGAGAACAATAAAAGGTTTTTTAAAAAGTTACCTATGTTGCTATTTCTTTGAGTTGTAATAAGTCCTTGAAGATCTCTTTCACTCATCTTATACTGTTGAAAAATAAACATATTACTTGTCAAAAAGTGACACCTTTGAATGTATTCACTTGATTTTTTTTGTAAGGGGATTTATTTATACAGGAGTTCCTTATTGATATGAAATCTATTCCAAGGACAGTTATTTTAGCTGTCTAGAGTACATACATTTTATTTTGGTTTTTTTCTAATGGACAAAGTTTATTAAAAGTTCAGCCAAATGTGATGTTATACTTCTGTAATAAAGACTGTTGACTTTACAAAATTTCTTGTCTGATTTTATTAATATTTACTTACCCAAAACTCTTTACTGAATCCAATAAGGCTTTCTACCAAATACACGTGCCTAAGATCACAGCCTTAGTAATGAAGCATTCAACCATTTGAGAATAAAAATCATGGATCTTATACAAAATTTACAATGATATTAAATTCCAAAGATTAAATAAAAGCTATAAAGATACTTGTACAGAGAGAAGGGGAAAAAGTATGAAACTGAATCTTCTCATATTCCATATTTAACACTTCACTCTTATATATGGATTCCTTTCTATTGTGAATTTAAGCACCCAATAACCTTAGAAATCTTCAGAGGATTTCTTACTCGCCTCAATACTCCGATTTACACGTATAAGTTGCACTCATATATAAGAGTCTGAGTTTATTAACTTCTTGAAGACTCCTTCAAGATGACTCAAAACACTGGAATTTTGATGCCTATGAATAATTAAAATATTACTCACATTAATAAGAGGTAAGCAAGTAACATGAATGTTGACTAATGTCTGGAAAAAATATAATCCATAAGATTTACCAACCTCTAGCATGAGTGTCCAACCTTTTGGCTTACTTGGGCTGCATTGAGTGAAGAGCTATTGTCTTGGACCGCGTATAAATATATATAATATAGTTGTATATCATAAAAGCATATACTAAGGTTAAAAGGTTTACAGCAGGAGTGAAATTTACTTACTGGTGGAAACAGGAATAAGTCCAGCATATTTGCCTTCCTTTTGCATTCTTATGTTGGTTTTTGATTTCTACCAGACTGTGGGGAATGATAGGGGCTGTAGTCCAATACAACTTTCTTATTGGTGTGGAACAGGGGTGAAATCCAGCAGATTCTAACAGGTTCTGGGGAACCGGTAGTGGAAATTTTGAGTAGTTTAGAGCAGTGTTTTTCAACCACTGTGCCGTGGCACACTAGTGTGCCGTGACATAGTGTAAGGTGTGCCGTGGGAGAAATACTTTTTATATAGTCAATATAGGCACAGAGTTAAATTTTTTTAACATTTTCTAATGGTGGTGTGCCTCGTGATTTTTTTCATGAAAAAAGTGTGCCTTTGCACAAAAAAGGTTGAAAAACACTGGTTTAGAGAACTGGCAAATTCCACCTCTGGCTGGCTCACAGTGGGGTGGGAATGGAGATTTTGTAATATCCTTCCCCTGCCATGCCCACCAAGTCATGCCCACAGAACCGGTAGTAAAAAAAATTGAATTTCACCACTGGTTTATATTCATGTGGGGCAGTATTACTAACTAGCTGTCCAACACTGCATGTGGCCCCTGGGATGTGAGTTGGAATACCTAGCTGAGAGCTTTATTTTATCTAAATATATTCCTCCCTCTTAAATTTCTTTTTGTAGAATGGTGGGTATATCATGGAGCACCCTATTAAAACATTTTTATTATTATTTAAGTACTACCAATCCATATTTGAAACTGAAATAACAAAATCAAGGCAACAATCCTAATATCAGCAGGACTGGAAAACTAAGAGAAACTCTACTTTACAGCATTGTGGGTGTTTGTTCTCATGTAGCTCAGCATTTCTCCTCCATTTTCTTTTTTGTCCTTTTTTGAATAGTTTGGGTTAGGAGAGTATGACTGAGGTATCCCTGAGTTTACATAGTTACATAGCTGAGGATGGGTCTGAACCTGGCTCTAATCCTTACATTTTAACAGCTACACCACATGAGCTCCTTTTACCATTTCAATTGTGATTCTCTTGAAGTGCCAGTTAAACGAATGACTAACATGGTTAATGCATCTGCTTCTGAGTAACTTCTATAGATTAATATAGACTAAATTTAATCTAGTTTAAATCAGCAATAGTTAAAAATCAGGAGAAATATGATTGATCAGAGATTAGCATCTGTATTAAGGTCATTGCGTTGAAAAGGCCTCATGGACCATGCCTCAGCCCCACCCATTATTTTTTCCCATCTCCAGTGGATCCACACTGAGTTTTCTATGGAACTCTTTCAAGTACGGTAGTTAGACCTAATATATCAGGCACTAATATAGGAAAAGAATTTGCCAACCAATTTGATAAAAGCATTATACATTAAATCTCTACACCTCTGATTATCGTGATTATAGCAGATTTTTTAGAGACATTTAACCTGTTTATTACAGGTATTTTTTCATTTATGAATTGCTCTGGGTTGTATGTGATATTATTGAACGTATAAGATAAATCACTGGCATACTTAATTTAAATAGGCAGGAAATGTAAGCAGTCTGACAAAGAAAATATCATGCTTTTTTTTCTTAAAAGCAGCTTTGGTTTCACTTGTCTTAAGCTGGCTGTTGTAAAACTTTGGGTGAGGAAAATAACTCCTTTCTGGATTCTATCATATAGGGTAATTTCTGGCCTATTCCAAATTTTTAATTTTTTAACAACTTGCTAAGTTAGACAGAGATATCTCTGTCCCATGGTTCTTATACAACAAAGACTACAGGCAGTCCATATTTAGCGATTGTTTGTAGTTATGATGATATGAAAAAGTAACTTTACAACCAGTCCTTCACATCTTTTGCCAGTCTGTGAAGCAATGGAAAGCTGTAGTAAGATCATAAGCACAATCATGGTTTCACTTAGACATCACATTGCTTAACAATCAAGTTGCCAGTTACCTTGATGGACAATACAAGGAAAACTAAACAGAAATATCAATGTCCATTCCATTGAAAATTCCATTGGAATTTTATTTTGGTATTGGTTTTGGTAGATGCTAGAAATTTAGCAAAAGGTTTGGTATTCCTGTAGGAGATGACCAGGAGGAGCCTGAAGGTGTGTCAAACGCATCATCACTCCGGAGTCCCTTATGCCTCTGAAAGCAACCTCAGTCCAGCCCCCCTTTAAAGTCCTTTGATTATTATTTCGCACCAATTGGCATTGACTGTTAGTAGATCTGATTGTTGAGTATAAGTAGCAGGGAATATTCGCAATGTTTCTAAACTCTGTCCTGGCTCCTGGTTTCTTGCGCCTGACAATTCCTCAGAGGTCAGTTCTCTCCCCCATGCTATTTTCACATAAAAACAAATTAGTCAGAATTTTGTGGTATCTTATCCAAATATACTATAATCAATATACAATGACATGAAGCTAGATTTTCCTAGACCTCTTCTAACTTGACAAACCTTTACTATGAAGCAGAAAGTTCCAGAGGTTCTAGAGCCTTTCAATTACATAACAACAGGGTAAAGAAGCAGGTTAAATTTCCTCTTCTCTCCCAGCCTCTTTAAATGCTTTTACTCGCATTTCAGTGGGAAGAAAACTATTTACACTAGCTCTTAACCAGACTTTAACAACATACTAGCATGTTAATAGAAGACATATGTTAGCATAGCAAAAGCATTCCAAGGATATATTCTTGCACATGTCTGACATACCACAATGCTTGACCCACCTCAGCCAATTCAAAAATAACCACCCTTAGAATTAGGATTTGGGGCTTTTTTACATTCCGGATTTAGTCCTCTGAGGGACTTGATACTACTGTTTTTAGGACATCTTTATAGCTTTCATAGGGTTATATAAATAATTAAGCCCACAAAATTAATAGACGTTAAATCTGATTAAACCAAATAGATACATTCTACAATTGCCATGTAGAGAATTGAAAAGCATTACACATTTTGAAAAATTTGAATGAATTCATTTCATGAAAAACTTATTACTGTATAAGCCAAACGAACAGCACAAATAAATTAAATTTGTATGCCTTTACTTGTTTTTATAACCCCAGTCATTTGTTAGCCAAAAGGAATATCTGATTATATCAATTTAAAAGAACTTCAATGAAAACAACAACTATTTTGTGTGCTATTTTCCAGGGAGCTTATCCCATCATCTTCATTAACAAAAAGGTTGCTGTCTTTCCCAGATGGAGCAGGGCAATAACTAATTTGTATTAATTGATGTATTTAAAATAGCTTCATCTGGAGCTATACTGCGTGAGCCATTAGGTAGATGCAAAAAGCAATCTTTGATTGGGCTAGTTGTTGTGAAGCAGTTAATATGGCAAACTGGATCCATTCTGATTCTAAAGTTTAAAAATAGATCCCCAAAGAAACAAATATGCAGGTTATCTTTATATGCTGGTAAATATGCCCAATTAGGAAACAATCTGTGCAATAATTGATCTTAATTCCACTAAAAGCACTTTTAAATCCCATTCTTCTGGGCAAAGCATAATGCCATGAGAGTTTAAAAGATTACAGGATGTACATTTAAGCTTCCTTGCAATTTCTGGTTTTTTTTCCCCTTCTGTTTTGTAAATTGAAAAACACCTGTCTGACAATGTAACAATGAAAACTGCTGAAACTGGAAAGTCCAGACTCCTGTCATGTGTTGGCATCAGGAAGTGGAAATTCTAACTGGAAAAGTTAAACCTTCTGCCATACACACACACACACCTGCAAAATTGTCTGGATGCAGCTTTTTTTTTATTATTAATTTTTTTAAAAAAATTTTAATTTATAAAATTGTCTGGATGCAGCTTGATGCCAGAACATAAGGTAATTCCTCATAAATCTGAACCTACAGCATGACTCCATATAGTTGCTGTTATGTGGGGAATAATTACTCTCCACCAATCAAGTCCAAAGCTGCAAACTTTATCTTTAGAATACACGCAGTATATTTGTGGCAAAAGAGAAGGCTATTTAGTATATCTGGCCCGGGCATATGAACCAATACTGCTTTTTTCCTGATTGTTTAAATATTG